TACACCTAATTATCGCTGTGGCATTGAAGTTTGCAGCTTTCGGGCCGAGAAAAGGCTAAGAGTCACAAAAAGTTGAATATGCGAAAGGTTATGTCTGGTAATAATGATATATCGTTCCTATATATATATGGGATTCTTCCCAGCATAACCGTTTGGTCCATGTGTAACGAAGTGACGTTATTTCAGCTTTCTTTCGGCAATTTCGGACTAAATCGATTTAAGCTTTGAAACTGCGAAGTTTGAAACATAACACGAGCATTAAAATTAGGGAGAATATTATCATTAATGTCCCTCCGAATCTTGTAGTTGAAGGAGACTTGTGTTCACCTTCAAGAGACAGCTGACCAACTTCTTGACAATTTTCACGTAATGTACGAGAGACGGACCTATATCTTATACAAATTATTTTGGAAGGACATATCTTGAGCTGTTCCATCCATCGCGGTACAAAACTTGTCTCTGATCAACTCAGAGCAAAAAGAAATAAGCATGATATTTTCGTAATAAGAAGTGAAGTATTTAACATTCGTTTCCGCCACTTACATGTAAATGATTCCGGCAAACAACTGTCTTCATCATGGGCCATTACACAAAACATAATTTGTTCGGCCAAAGGCCCCATCTGAGGCCTCTCAGCTAATTTTTCGAACATCGCTGTAGACGTCACGCAGTTAGCAATCTCATTTTATAATCTTAGTTATCAGTTTCTGTCTCACAAGGTTCCATATTTTCGTAAAATGCAAGCCAAATAATCTTGCATTATGGATCATCACACTTTTTTTTCGAGCTCCGAATTGTTTTTTCGATAACTCACAACCTGCTTCATGCAACTTTACTGACATGCATTAAACTGTATGATAAATTTGAGAACCGCTTGCTTTTCTCATTCGAGATCATGTCAACGTCAGTCTGTAGAGAATTGTCCTAGAGAGAAAGATCAATTATTACTGTTGTGCTGAGAGCTGTGTTCGTCCCGGTAACGTCGTCTCAAAAGAAACAGCTTGCTCTATCACAGCAGTCATCCATGTGAAGTTATTTACCCTCAGTTGGTATATTGATTCCTTCGGGAACGTATGTGGCTTGCGCTGATTCAGGACCTCAGCCGTGAAAACATAATTACTTCACCAAAAGTTCGGCTTCAATTAATTTTTTATGACAAACATTGAAAAAAAATATAACAAAACAAAGATATAACAAACAAAAAAATCACCAAAACATTCTACCCTCAAGTATTTTCAAAAAGGAAATGTGTTTAAACCAAATGCCATTTTAACTCAACTCAAGAATTTCTCAGGATGTTCCAGCGATTCAGCTAAACTAACGTTCCATACAATCTCTTTTTACAAGCTTTTGTGCGAATTTTCACAAAATAAATATTATTGATATTATTATTCTCAGCAGTGTAAACGAATTTTCTTAGTTGAGTTCCGCTGAGAAAGTACTAAAAAGGATGTGAAAATCGATCCATTCGCGTTAGCTTTTGGTCCCGTCCACCGATCCGACATTAATTTGTTTAAAGCGGAATCCGCGTTAATTTCAAACATTTCGCCGTTGTACGTGAAATGAGACATAAATTATTTGCCTGTCTTTCAGATTTCAGCCTTAGTTTTCCGTCATCTGTGATGAGCCTATTGTTCAAGAAAAACAGCTTTTTCCTCTACCGCCCTCTTTCGCCCCTCACTGCACAAACCCGTAACACGTAACATGACGATAGACGAATTTCCCTCGACAAAGCTAATACTTTTTCAAGCAGAAAGGTACTGAAAAAAAGTTAAAAGTAAATGTAGTAGGCTTCCAAGTTTCTCAGTTTTTGCGTTTCTTGGAAAATGTAATCCTAAAGAGAACATACGTTTTCGCCGTGTTGACAGAATTGAAGATTCGAGTGGATTCTAAACAGCTCAGTCTAATGTCGGCGGAAATAACTCAAAAGTCTAAAAGATGCCGTTCATTAGTAGAAGAACCCCCGCATTTGGTCAAGTCTACATAATGGACTTAATTATATTCGCACAACTACTTTTAGAGCGCTCACTTAGGTAGAAAAAATTTGAAATTTTCACTCGACAAGCTCGCTAAAAATCAGCTTTGTTAGCTTTGTAGCTGCTACATTGTTCATTTTTCTGTTTTAAGAATACGCTTATCCAAACAAGGTGAACCGCTTTGCCACTGAACAAAATTTTCTATTTCAATAATGAAGACGTATTCATTGATCAATATAGTAAAAAGGTTGGAGCTTCAAGAGGAAACTACTGACCAAATCAGGTGAACGTGTCGGCTCTAATTGTCTACTTAAAACGGGGACCTATTCTTGAGCAGGAAATAAACAACATTGATTAAAAATTACTAAGAACAATACCACCAGCTGGATGCATTTTGTTTTGAATTAAAAGAGCTGTCACCTAACAAGACTTGAAATCGCATTCAGACTCCAAGTGTTTTTGAACGTACAATCCTAAAAAAGGGTAAAAGTCGGGGTATCCTCTTTCAGGCAATGTAAGATGTAAGTGTTTTTATAAAACTAAATCATTAACAGGGAAGAGAGAAATGTTTCTGACAACTAGTGAGGTGTTTTGGACCAGACAGGCTAAATAAGATTCAGTGTTATATTGTCTGAATTGTGCGCAAAAAGGCTTTTGATTAATAACCAGGTCCACAAGGGCGGGTTTTGTTCGCTATCTTTGTTAGCGGCAGTAACTCATCTCATGCCTTTTCCTTTGGAAGAACAGAACTATAGTAAAACTCGACTAAAGAGCTTACTTGGCTTAAATTTCCTCTTTTTGGTACCATTTCGTCTGTTTGTTGTTAGTTATGCATTTATCACAAATAAATGTTTTAAGTTTCGGATATAAGCGCTGACTCTCATGAAAAGAATCGCAAAAATTTTAAATCTCAATCAACTATTTTACCGATGAAACTTAATGCGGTCTAAACAAGAAATCTTATCAAAGCTGACTTTTGAAACCTGCCTCGTTCGATACGGTGGATTATGTTAAGTCTAGTATAAAGCAGAAGTTGTCTTATATTCATGCCTGGGACTGATCTGTTTAGAAAACGTTTAAAAATCAAATCTGAATCAAATATAATTTAATCGGATATTGGTTATGAGTAGCAGACCAAACGAGGGCGTTCTATTTTGGAACTGGAAGAAAATCGACTTAATATTCAATCCATGTCACACCTAAGCCTTCCCATTTAAGTCTCTGGCTGACCTTGCCCTCAAATTATCGCCTCAATCAGCTTCACCTTAATTTTTTCACACCTGAAAGTACAGCCTCCCTTGAAATTACTGTCGGTGTGCTTGTTTACAAGGTTCACACTTCGCTCTAAAAAAATTAAAAATAAGAAGCTGTCAGTAGAAAGTAAAACTGAAAAATTAGTTTAGAAATTGTCTATAACATTTATTTTTATATAGCTAGATCCTTTACTGAGCTATCGAAAATTTTAGAAAAAAAAAAAAGATTTATCCACGGCCAAATCATATTGAATATTTTATGATTCCACTTACTTGCTTTCTTTTCCTAGTTGATTAATTTTGCATCAACCAAGGAGAGACTTTTGCGTTAGCGATGTTACACTGCACTACAGATGCGCCTGTGAGGTCAATTCTGATCGTTTCAGCTTTAGAAAGGCCAAAACATATCGAGTAGCTTGAAAAACCTTCATCCCTCTTAATTCCAAATCGAAAATTGTAAACTAGACTTAATCAACACTGTCACAGCATTAAAAAACGTGGCTTGAATTATAATGATTGCTCAGCGGCGTAGTGCAGCTAATAAAAAGAAGCTTATAGATCATTCTCTTTTGACTTTTCATTGCTTAGAAACAATTCAATAGCTCTTTTATGTTGTCAGACTTATGCAGCTGTACTCCTAATGAAACCTCGACATAGTGTACAAATGTCACTCGTTTCAGTCCGTCTCGTTCAACCATCGCCACTTTGATGAACTCATACGACTGTCATCCAAAAGATTCGATGAAAATGTGCTAGATCGTCCAATGGTTCAATAGTTATCTCAACACTCAACACACTCAACCCTTTGTTTCGCCAGCGACCAGAATGAAATATGAATTAGCATCAGCTTAAGTATTACGAATACAAATTTATTGTTTAATTAGATTTATCCGAACGAAAGTAATTCCTCCGTAGCAGGAGACTCAGATGTTGTTAATCGTTGCTCTTAGGGATCTGTGCTACTAACAGAATGCACTGTGCTGCTGGTGGGTTTCAGTGGCCGCTTAATGAATATACTGGCAACGAAGCTGCGACAATGCTTAAGCCTTTTGCAGCTTCGCTATTCAACGCTCCAAATAAAACACAACAAAGCCAACTTTGCAGGCTACTACTGAGTTTTTTCTTAATTTTCTCACAACAAATTGAGGAGATGAATTTTAATAGGAACCTCAAATGTCATAATCAGAAGCGTAGATATGCTTTTAATTCATATGGTTGCTTCTGATCTTTCTGACAAAGGGCTGACGCTCTAAACGTCAGCGTTGGGAACTCATAAAGTTGGCCAATTTACATTATCTCAGTTTATAATTAGTGATAAAACTAGATTAGAACTGACAACAGTTTCTCTAGAAACTACCCCCTTAAGTTATTCATCAATCATCAATCTTTTACTCGCTGAGCAAAGAACATCGCGCGCGCATCCTATTTGCGGTACAATACACATTGCAAATTAATAAATGATATTGGTTTGCCTGCTATCAGCGAATCAAAACTTTGCGTTAGTTACTACGAAATAATTTAAATTGTTCTCTGAACTACAGTCAATTGCAATGCACTAAATAATAAATAGCCTCATCTACAGTCGGAGAATGTCAAAGGCGTGTGATCGATTGCATAGTAACCAAGGTGTTTTTTCTTTATCCTCTTAATGAATTCAAAAGTTATCGTATCAAATGAGACAATTCACGTTCAATAATAAAACTTTAATTCTTGAAGTTTTGAATTTTATTTTTTTATTTGTTTGTGAACCCGTTGTGCCGATTGTGTTACATTAAACCGTGTGGCAAATTGTGCCAGAATGGCTACTCCTTCTAAAAGAGTAACAGTCGAAGATATCACATGCTTCAATTTCCTAAAGAACAATGTTTATTATTTTAGCAAAACTCTTCCATTTGAAAACAGATTTTGGTGGTGATCACCTGCACCATTACAAATCAGCGATGCGCACGAGCGAATAAGCCTCCTATGCAAGAGAAATACTGTATCTTTGTCCTTGGCAAACACAACTATACAAGACTTGATAGGTTTTGTGAACGATGTCACATCCCCCGACAGTACAATCACCCTGCCTTCATCTTCACAATTCAACTTGTCTATTTCTTCAAGCATAGCGTCAATACTTGTTGGAAGAAGATCAGACACCATGGAAACAGGAAAGTTCAAAGTCTCCGCAATATGAGGCGCTAACAGCAACAAATATGTCGAATCTGAAGTCTTCAGATTGACATCGATTAAGAACTTGCCTCGGTTGTTTATTAAGATTTCCACTCCCGTGAAACCGAAGTAGCCATGTTTATTAAGGTATTTCATTACCGGTTTGACGACATCCCAAGCCAGTTTTTTTAGGTCCTCTTGCTCGTTCCAATCAACATCCGGGACCAAACCGTGCTCGCAGAACGATTTTCCCGCCATCTTTCGCCGAACACCCAACCAGTGAACGTCGCCATTTTGAAAAAGATACAGTTGGACATTCAAAAAGTCGCTAACGTTCTCAACGACTTCAGTGATGACTGGTTCATGACAATGGAAATTCGTTTTAAGTTCATGAAAAGCTTCTAGGGCTTGATCTTTTGATCGGGCAAGAAACACTCCCCTACCCCCGACCCCTTGAGTAGTTTTGATCATACAAGGTAGCGTGTAGTTGTCACGTGACATGTACCGAGGGCAGGGTGCTCCCATTTCTGGAATTCTGGTCTTGGAGCTGAGAATGTAGTGGATATCGGGATCCACGGCATGTTTTTCGGCTGGAAAACTTTGAAATGGAAAATTGACCACCAAAGGACGCTTTCCAGTATCTTCATTTTCGAATATTCTTATCTCGGGTCTCGGAAAGAAAGGCAGCCATTTAGACCAATGCTGAAAGGAAAAGGAAATGCAAAAACAGAGAGAATCTTCGTTACTATTGTCAGTCTGTTTATGGAGTAACTGAAAAAGACACTTTGCCAGTGTAGCAGTGCAACCTTTAAACCATACAACCCTGAGAGTGAATAGCATCTAGTCTCTCATAAAGGTATTACTGCTGAATCAAACATTAGGCTTGTGAAAATTAAGGAAATGAAAGAAAACTTTAAAAGATCCTAATTTTTAACCAAATTCTCTTTGTCAGTACCACAGTAAATAGCTAAAGAACTGTAAGGAGAATATACATGCTGATGTTAGGGTGAAAAGGGTTGATAAGATATCATTTAGTTAAACTTTAGACGACCGATGGAAGTTCCGTTTGCAAAATTTTTCGTGAAAAAGTTCGACCTAAATTAAATTTCGACGTAAGTTAAGATTTCGTAGAGACGCCTGTGCGCTATCTTGTTACCTCTGGCTTGTACAAATTGCTTTTTGAATTCTTATCCAATTGTTCTCCAATGGATCGATACAGAGTTACCTCACCTCGGTAATAAGAGGATGAACAGCGCATGTCAGTAAAATTGGAAGATCATTACCAGCCACAGGGCATGCTCTCATCGCCTTCAGGTATCTGTGATCAGCGGTCATATTAGGAGAATAGTCATGGATGAGGTAACTCCTACTGTTTACGAAACTTGCTTTGTGGTTGAATGTTGATGGTCTTTCAGGAAGTATGTAGGCCTGGGGTAAATCTTGAGCCAAGAGACTTCCAAGTGTTACCACATTGTTATTGGTTAAGGCATTCATCTTTGGAGAAGGGCCTGGGACTGACAAAATGATGATCTTTCGTTACCTCATGCGTGACGGGTAATGCGAGAGTCACTGAAAGTTAATTTCAATGGAGTAACTGTAAAGGAAAGTAAAATAATATTTTGCTTTAATTCCTCTAGTATTTAACTAGAAAAGAAAAGTCATGCGGTTTTCTAATCTTTGATATTTGATGAGCAGCCTTCACTTAAAAAAAAAAAACCCAACAAACAACCGAAACAAACAAACAACAACAAGAAGAAAATATATTAAAACAAACAAACAAAAAAAAAAGCGGCTGCAAGGAAGTCTGACAAGAAAAAGTAGAATTTTGGCATCGTCCAAAGAAAGGGAACTTGAAACAACTGGCCGCACTCTCTAATGATTAACCTGCGTTTTAATTTACGGGGGATGTCGGTAGAACGTAATGTTTGGAGAACCACCCAAGAGCGCTTATTCTCCTGTTTACCAATAGTAAGTGAGGTGAGTTGCATTTTGAAAATAGTCATCGGTTTACTGGTACAAGAAACAGTAGGTTGTAAACCAAACAGAACTCGGATATTACGATTTCAGGTATTTCATACAGTTCTTATTTGCATTTTGAAAATAGTCATCGTTTTACTAGTACAAGAAACGATAGGTTGTAAACCAAACAGAGCTCAGATGTTATGATTTCAGTTATTTTATACAGTTCTTAATGCTAGTCAGCAGTTGATAGGGCGTTTAACCACGCAGGACTGAAGCAAACCGAAAGTTGTTATCTTATCTACGTCGAACAGAAAGACACATACAAAGCTGATTGCTTGAGGGTTCTGTGTTGTGCGATGTTCTTTATACGAACGCTGATTTGTCGGCAAGTTTCTTTTGAGCGACTGGTTGAAGACTAAATACATCCTTCATGTAATTAATAATTAACAAGACTCTGTCAACGCTTGTAACATTTCAGTTATGTTTTCATGTACGTTGACATTATGTTGAAATAGAAGTTATCAAGTTATCACCTTAACTAAAATGCGTGAACTTTTAACGAAAAATTAGGAACAATTAATTTTCGCCGTTCAACAATTGAGCAGAGGTGAAACATTCAGAGTCGAATGTTTGTGTTGCAGTGAACCGCGATATCAAAAACACATGCGCCCAAAGAGCTAAATATTCAATTTTTTCTTACAGGTGGCTTCATCTCACCGACCACTTTAGGTAAATTTATCATTTAACCGTCGATTCACATCGCAAATTATTGTTCTTTAAATTTATATAGAAAGAACTAGCGTCAGGTAAAGTTATTTTGTAAGGTCAGTTTATCCTTACCCGTAGAAAGCTCGAAGAGTGGCCGCGATGCGAGAGTAATTTTCTGTATTGAGGCTTATTTCACTGGAAGAACACAATGTTTGTTTCTCTTTTGGTGGTAATAACCGCTGCAATTTTAATTTGAACCGTGGACACCTACATCAACTTCTATATTTCGCGTCGAAATCTTCGGCAAAAGTCCAAAATTGTATCATGCATGAATTCTGAATCGCCCCTCCCTCGCATTTTGGAGAGGCATTTGTTCTGTTTGGGTGATAAAGTTAGAACTTGAATTTAAGGTCGGTCATTTATTTGTCAGAAATTTGTCAAATTGCTTGTCAGAAACTATACATTAAAAATTTCCCTATGTCAGAAAGACTTAAAACAAGCGCTTGAATTTTAATATCTTTGCTGGTTGTTCTGCAAAACCAAGCCAGCGTGTCACGTTGGATTACACCATGGCGAGAGCATTAACCACGAACAAGATTTTATACATCTGGTTAAAAGTTTAGCCAAACTAGGAAGCGAAGATCCTAACTAAAGTTTGTTTCCCTACACTCTCTTTCTATTTATTTCAGTCCTCCCAGACGAGCCCAGAATCGCATGGAAAGGAGACTTTAACCCTTAAAGTTCCGTGAGTGACCAAGAAGAATTTTTTTCTCATGATGTCAATACAATATGAATCTTAAATGCATTTCATGAATGCATTTAAATGAGAGTATCTTATGTACCTTAGTCGCTTTATGCTTTGAACTGTTATTTGTTTGCAGAAGAAATCAGAGTTAATCTTAGACTAAATATAGTCCTCTCTAGTGAATTAGACTAAAATATTTTATCAAGGCTATTTTTGGAGTCACTGAATTATGTACTGTTTACAAATTTTTAAACATGCATATTCAAATAGGGCAAAATTGAGTGTCATTGAAATCATTTCTGCAAATCTGATGTGCGTTTCATTGTTACATCGTTTGTTAATCATCTTCACCTTTGATCACTCGTCTCCCTGTGTGTGTTTGTTCTTTGCTCTTCGGATGTTTGTCTAACGTGGCGAACGATTGCCTAAAGGGTTAATTTCATTGAATAAACGAGAATTACGGGCTACAGTAAAACGTCGACAATTCAAGATATGGAAATTGTTTTAACGAGACATGTCATGTTTGGTATGTGCGATTCTGTGTCCTCACTTCGTTAGCAGTAGTTTTTTGATAACTTTACACAAAAGTCTAGAGTTTGGCTGATTAATTTGTCGATAAAAACCTGCCTTTCTCCTTAGTGGTGAACTCCCGTCGCAACGTCGCCACTGATTAACAAAATATAAAATAATAAAAATAGATTTTTTGTTGCCATTTCTAAGACGAGAATCATAACCACGACACCATGCGCGAACGAGATTTTCAAATAGAGTCGGGTCAATTTGGCAATAGAAAACGCGAACTGACGACAAGGTTTTGACAGAGCGCTGAACGGGCGAGAACAAGTTATCGAAACGCAAACGGCAGTAATATAATCCTGATATAGGTTCCGAAATTGAGAAGCAAAGGCAATAAATACATAACTGTTCCAACCTTATCGTTCAGAAAGCTCTTTAACTGAAGCTTCAAGAGGCATTCGATAGTGCGGTATAGTCTCTCAGCTGGCTTCTCTAATCTTGCAGTGATGTCTACCTTTTGATCAAGTTTTAACAAACTTTAATTTAGTGATTAATAATAAATTCCGCTTTTGCACTCTAATCGCTTGCTCTTCAAAACAGTTCTGTGATTCCGAACTTTGAAACACATGCGATTTGAGACAAGGAAGATTACTTTTCTTGTTCACAGTTTCGCTTACCTTAAAGTTTCTCCATTTTTCCCCCGGGCTGATCAGTGAACAGGTCATTTCTTGAACTGCTTCACCGCTGCGATAAATGCTAAATGCTAAATAAAGAATGACTGAATTTCGCAACAATATATGCGGTGGTGCATTGAGTGATGTTGCAATTAACTCGAATTTACATCTGCGTTGCAAATTAGTTGAATAGATTCACGGACCTCTCTGGAGACTCGGAGCCATTCTAATGGGGAACTTGATCCGCGGGTTGTCTGACACGAAACTCTCATAAGAGTTGATGGCAAAAGTGTTAGCTTCAGAAATTTATTCAATCACTTTTCTCAATGTTGTTTTCTGTTTATGACTCTGTCCTAACACAACGCCTTCGATCAAAATTAGGAGGCGGATTATCCGTGGCTTTTAAATATTACTGACTCTCATACAGCTATTGAATATGAAAGAGATCTTCGCAGCAATGACCGCAGTGAATTTTTTTAGGCATTATTTTTACTGCTGCTTAAGTAGTTTTGCTGAAAGATCGCTTTCATATTCATTTCTTAATTGACAGATTACATACACGATTTTTCTATATTTACAGCCATTGTTGAAACTAGTCTTTCAGTTCTGAGAGCACACGATGGAAATGGAATCGAGGTCTTATTATGGCTGATAATTGAGTGTATTCTCCTTTGCCATTAGAGCAGTAGGGATTGAAACAGCTTGTGAATATTTATAAAGGAGTTCCACCGTCCCCTGGCCCATATCTTTTCCATCTAAATTGCAATTGGATCAATTAATTTAAGTGAAAGGATTTGTTTGTTTCTATTTCTTGAATACTGCTTCTGAGTCGAGTATTAAACCTCCTTGCTTTCCCTCTAAGATTTTATTTTCCCTTTCTTTAGAACCCAAACGGTGGAACAAGAATTTCCGTTTCCGACTTTTAGTTTTGCGGTTTCTTTCCAAATGTTTGAATTTCCGGAAATGGCAAAAGAACTGACCGCTAAGGCAAACACTAAAACAACGTCACGCGTTTGTCAATTATACAGTCGACAGCTGTTATCTCTTTAATCCTCAAGATCTGAATGCTAATTCTCCCCTCTTGCCGCTGTACACTTTCTTGTAAATAAGTTACAAGAATTTGGTTTTGAATCAAGATAACAACTTCTGAGTATTCACAATACCTGTTTGCGGGATGATGTACGGAAATTATTGGAAGAAATTGCGTGCGTGTTAATCACCTCCAGAAATTAAAGGCTAAGGTGTCACAGTGTGTAAGTTCGTTACATAGAAATGTTATCTTTTTCGTTCAGTGAAATAGAGTAATGAATTAATTTAAGTAGTAGGAGTTTTTTGTCACCAGTTCATGAAAAGGGGCATAAAGTATTTAACCTTTTCACACCCTAACATGAGTATCTATATTCTCCTTACAAGAGGTATCGAATGGTCCCATTCAATTTAAAAGCGCTCGAAAAATTTGGCCTTTGCTCGAATTGCTCGCAAAAATTGCACGGGTGCTCGCTTGCTCGTGCTCGCAAAATTTTTGCAACTGCTCGCATGCCCGCATTCTCGTTAACATGTGCTCCATTGCTCGAAATTTCGTTAATCCTGCTTTGTAGTTATTTTTTTATACATAAAGTAAAAGATAAATCAGTTATGATATGGTTAAAACGAAAAGGTCGAAACATCCTTACCTCTGGCTTTAGTCTTTCTTCAACAGTTCAGCCCGTAACCGTTTTGGAGGCGCTGTATGTATTATCGGGAAAACTCACGAAGCTCCATGACAAGAATTTCGTTTATTTCTGTTTGAGAGAGGTACAGTTCCGAAGTTCAAATGCAAATTGTGATCTTTCATCTATTCATTTGTTTCTTACCCAGGAAATTCTGATAGGGTTAAGAGAAAGCTCGACATGACGGGAGGTGACATAATCTCCTGTGGAGACAACAATACTTGCGCACCTTTGTTGGTCTAAATTCCCATTTATTTGAGCAAATCATTAGGGTTTGTAGATATGATGGATTTTCCAGTGAGCAATGGGAAATAAATTGGATGGAGTCATAATATTTTGAAACAGTGTACTCGGGTCGCATTTTGTAGCGGTTTCTTCAACCTTGGAAGCTTCCTGGCCATTAGTAATAACTACTTAATAATTATAATCTGATGCTAAACGGTGGCACATGAAACCCGATTAACAACAACCGTCGGTCGTTTGGGCTTCACCGGTTCAGGGAAATTCTTTAATGAAATGTTGCTTTTATTATTTTGATCAAAACCTAAAGGCCTAGCCAAACGAGGAGACATGTCTAGAAACTGTCTCCATGTCGCACGGAAACACGAAACGTAAGAATTCTTCTTGAAAAGGCACCCGCGAAGGTAGAAAGTAACCTAGAGAAATACTCATATTACTAGTCCTATTTCACCTTCAGAGCTATTACTAGAGCTTGTCAGATCTTTACGGCTTTAATTGGTTAGATTCTAGAAGCCTCCAAATAAATAAAGTCTCATTGCGTTGAATCTTTTTTAGTCAATCAGCGGGAAACCAGTTTGCCGATCATCGGAAACCGAAGCCCGAAATGCTTGTTAGACCTAATGTCATGTTATTTACATTTCATAACATACCTTCCATTTTAGCGTCGGGTTAGAAGGAGATGGAAAACTTTAGATCGCGGGCTCTGGATCTAGTAGATCTCCGTGAGAGCTCCTGAAGTTCCCCCATAGGCGGCCCAAGCTCTCGTCTCGAGAACAAGCCAACGATTAATTCATGAGCGCGTCACGCGTTGTGTGACTTGGTGTTAGGTTACGAGAGGAACCGTTGAACATTTGAACACGTTATAAGGAATAGTATGGGGTACGAAATATGGTCGATCTACAACGATAAATATTTCGCATTAGGAACATTTCACACGTAAAATCAATGAAACTTACTCACATCCTGTGTGTCCGTCGTAGATTCTGGCGATTTCTACCGTTTTAAGCTTGCTCTACCATCACAGCAAGCAAATGGGTCGCCTGCAGTTCCACCCTGACTGACTCACGTGAAGCTACGTGACGTAATTTGGCATCAAGCAGGGCACAGTTGGCTTTAAGATGCTGGGACTGGTTTAACCGCCCTAGCTTTGCACCTATTGTTCTGTTTTGAAGGTGTCAGCCAGATTATTAGCTATTACTTGACGCAAAACAACGTATCCTATTAATAAAAGAGAGATTCCGGCTAGCGGAAAATTTACAAAGTACTCGAAGTGCTCGCTGCTCGCCACCTGTATTTTCCAAAGTGCTCGCTGCTCGCAAGAAAAATTTGACAACTGCTCGTGCTCGCAAAAATAAACATACTGCTGGCATGTTCGCAAATGCTCGCAAAGACCGCTCGATACCCCTCATACAGTTCTCTATACTATTCTTAAGGTGCTGACAGGGAGAATTTGTTTAATAATTTAGAGCTTCCTTAGTTCGTGACCATCTCATATATTCTCCTGACCTTAAAGTTTGTTTCACGAGTGACGTTGTAAGGAGAAATTAAATGCGAGTCACTCTCAGTGATAATCACCGTTTTTTTTTTCGCTGCCGATGGTTTCAAGGGAAGTAGAAAAACAGTAAGAATGTATTTGAATAAGCTAAAAGAACTCATCATGCTTAAAAATTCAAATATGCCTTGTCTGTAAAGGTTGGCATAAACTGTCCCCCAAAACTGACAATATGTTGAATCTTTGGCCATCACTGACACTAATTTTTATTAAAACAACAACAAAGGGAATTTTCATTCCCTGATCATTTTGAGCTATAATGTTGTAACAAATGTTTTTATAGTTACAAATGTATTTGATTACTTGTAAGGTGATCACTCGTTCCCTTGAAACATCCTGGACATTTTTGAGAATTTTTTTTTTCACCATGATTTTCTCAAATGGCCTTTATTTGGCACCTCTCATTTTGTAAATTTTTATACAATTAGTTTTTGCCTTATTTGTGGGGCAATTACTACAATATTATTTCAATAAAAGCTAAGTTTTTTCGTTTGTCTCACGATGTAGTTGCGACGTTTTTATTTCTCGAAAATTATTTCCCTTCATGGGTTACAAAGACCTTACGAGTCTGTCATAGTCAAGTTCAGATGGAACACCAGAATCCTATCAACGGTTTGGCTCCAACTTTGGCTCATTTATTTTTACAAGGATTAAAACTGTATACCATATTAATCCTTTAACTCCCGTAAATGACCAAGACAGAATTTCTCCTCACAATATTAATACAATATCAAGCAATTAAGTGATGAGAATAAAGAAAAACAATTTTTTATGGGATTACTAATTGATCCAATACCAAATTCTCCAAACTAACATAATGAGAGTCGTTTGGAGAACAGTAAGGAGAATTACTAATGAGATCTTGGGTGGAAGTTAAAGGGTTAATTTTATGTAATGAGCTGAATGATACACGCATTTTGAATAGTTCTTACTTATGATTTATCGGAAGACAGATGCACAGATGACATCGCCATTGACAAAATGGTTGTTTTTTATCTATCATATAAAACAAATAGATTCCCTGTTGCCGTGGGTTTGTACAGTGATAAATAATCTAAAACGTCGAAATGTGGTAAGAAGATCAGAAACACTCGACTGCACCTCGAGAGCCACTTTCCTGTTCTTACCACATATTGACGTCAATTTTGATCTATTATTGAACAGACGAACGCCATTACGGAAAGTATTTATAAAATAAACACTTTAGTATCCCCAAAAGTAATCTTAGGGCTTAGGGCTAGTTTGCAGACGGAAAAAAGACGTACTTAACTAAGGGACTTAACCAAGACTACTTGAAAATAGTGTGCTTACTCAAAGACTACCCAACGAAGGTCGTGCTGACATACTTTTACCCTCTTGAAGCTTCTTTGAATTCTCTGCTAACAGTGAGTTACTAACATAATTAACGGCTGCAGGAGCCTCCTACCGGCTGCTTCAATGTAGTTTAGACATAGAGTACATACCACCAGATTATGTAAATCTGCGAGAGTCAAACAGCTAAGCTTTTGAAAGAAACACTCCGAAGCCTGACTGCTTTATAAGATCCTGGAGTTATTCTTAATTCTTGGTGTTAACTTTAGGGAAGGACTTCATATTGATTTTTTCGCTTTTAACACCGGATGTTGCCAAGGTTGCCTTCAAAATGTTGGACTTGGAAGTTGAAGTAAAATTCAACTCTAGTTTGATGTCGCTCAGACGTCGAAAATTGTCAAATGCAATCTTACGGAAATCCTGTTTGCCAAATATGTACAAACAAGGGTTTAAAAACGACGCCAGGTATCTCAGCCAGAGGATACAATACAATAAAATTAATGGTGCCTCAGACATGTCGAACCTTCGAATTCCAAAGTAAGGTAACCAGCAAACTACGTAAAGAAGTATCATGGCGGCAAAGATTACAATGGCTTTCCTTTCGTGGTGGTTTCTGTTTCTTCTGTCACTTACGCCCGGCGTACTGTGCCGTTGAATATTTCGGCTTTGGCGGATGATCTCAAAGATGATTCTGACATAAGAGAAAAGCATGGAAACCACTGGAAAGAGGAAGTACAAAGCAAGAAACGCAATGTCATAAATCAGTTCTTTCTTCCTGAACTGATCTGATTCTCCCTCGTGAGGGTCATGATGGATTGGGTCGAGCCAGGTGAACTGCAATAATGAAGTTACCGCTGACAATAGCCATATAAGGAGAATAACCATAACACACCTGGGCTTGGTGACCAGTGTGGAATAACGCATAGGATGAACGATGGCTAAGTATCTGAAATTAATTGATAAAGCTAGTTGATCATCATAATAATTTGATTAGGAATCAGTTTATCGTAAAGGATTCATGTGTATTTTGAGAATAACAAAGTGACATAAGTGGTATATTTCTTGGTGCACCACTCGAAAGTGTTGTATAACTAGTATTTGCAATATGTTTGGATTTTTTCCCAAAAAGGCACGCTCTCATTGGTTACTTTAGGGTCATATGACATTCCATAATGAAACCGTTTTATCGCCAAAAGTCCCTGAGTGGGCAAAATTGCAAAATCTACGACGTCAGAGGAAAAAAGTGCGCTGTCATCTGCGAATTGGCTGAGGAATGCTTTTGTACGTGAACAGAGCGTGATCAAGTAAATGTGGCGAGACATGTTTAGCGTTGCAGTATTTTGCGCTACTATGTGCAATAAATTTCCGATTTATTTTCGCATAATGACCTTTCATGTCTTGTCATATAACAGGCCATTGAACGGCCTCTTCATAGAGGAAACAGATAATTTTATCTTCCTCCGGTTCAGTCGTTAATTTAATGTAATTTAAGAAAATATTGAATATGATAATAATGTAACGTTGCTTGTTTACCTGTCAGTTGTCACGGCCATCAAATGACACACAATCAAAGCACTTATGAAGCGTGCCGTCATTTCTTCTGTGATGCACGTGGCTAATTGGATGTGATGGTTGCATATGAGAAACATTGGCACAGCAACCAGGCCTGTGAGCAAGTCAGACACAGCCAGGCTACATAGCAGAAGATTAGTGATCGATCGGAGATGTTTTTTCTTAGCCATCAAAAGTAGCACCATGGTGTTAATAGTTACGATAAAAAATGCCAGGACAATTGGAGGAACATCTGCCACAAGATTGAAAGATCCTTGATACATATCCTTGTGCTCATCATCTGCAATGAAAATTCTTTTCATTTTATCTCTTTTCGACTGTGAATATATGAAAATCATATATGTGAACTTCGATTAAGAAATATATAAGGGAGATCTACGCATTAATAAACATTAATTAAGCAGTACTGAATATAGCGCTTGACACAATTCAGTAATATACCCGTGAAGTGATAACTAAGTAACTGAGTACATGAAAATCATGTATCACGGAACTGCTGGTCAAGAAATGAATATGAAAGCGATCTTCGCAGTAACGCAGTATGAACCAACATTATGGCCAGCTCCCAGTTGGCTTGTTAGCTCAGTTGGTAGAGCACTGCACCGGTATCGCAGAGGTTATGGCTTCAAATCCCGTACAGGCCTGCTGCTTAAGTGTTGTTCATTGTATATACATCAAACAACTCGTACATTTTTGTTAAGAGCGAGAGTGGCCGCCAGGCAGCTGTAATCTTGCAAAGAAACAGATAACACTTATGGGTAGTCTTCATTGCATTTCTTCGCGTTGCGAGAGATCGCTATCTTCACGTGAATGACTCCCACTCGCGTGTGTTGGCCTCAGTCCCCCGTGCCCACTTGTTTATGTCCAGCCAGACCGTCTACACCGGTTATGTAATCGGGAGGAGTTCATCTTAGAGGGAGGCGATGATATCGCATGCTTTGACACTATGACTCAAATCGATATCCTCTTAAAAAAAAAATCCGAAAGATGCCTTGACGGCTGAAAATGTGGGAGATTCTTTCTCAGAAATTCTAAGTGTGACGAGGTTCCGTGGAACACAAATAGAGACAACGAGCCAAGGTTTTTTGCGATAGGCATCTTACCCTCCCTTCCCTCAAGAAGCTAAGGCGGGCTTATTAAGTCTGATAGTGAGCTCAGCTCGGGAACTCGTTCGTCATATACCCTAAACAGAATTCTTCTTACCTTCGCTCGATACGTTTGTCACAGGATGAACACGAGTGTTGTTTTCCAAGGTAGAATTTCTTTCCATATTGAACTCGAATGTTTCCTTCTGTTTGATTTAAACAAAACAGAAATGCTCAAGAAATGATTAAAAGTACTTTAAATGTAAAATTATCATCAGGCTTCCATGAAAAGAAGTTCAGTCCGTTCGAGGCGTTTCAACAGCCGTGATACACTAAGACTGGATTCTGTGAATGCTCACCATTCGATAAATGTTTCCAGCTTTCATTTGAAGATCAAGATGAAAATTAAAGACTTTGACGCAAAACCCTTTAAAAATTAAGCCAACGTATTAGTGGTGATTAGCTAGTATATTTCCATGATATTAAGGGAAAAAATAGAAGCCTTAGAATTTAAGAGTGACAAGTAAGGCTGCAAGATGTTCCGGAACAAGAAGTAAGGTTTAATTACTTTACCTACCATAAGCCTTTACGTTTGCATGGTTCTTACACTTTCGAAAAAGCATCGAAAGGAAATATCCCGCGTAAGAACCGCATTTATACAGAAGTTCATAGGTCGACACCAAACAAATACGTGTCGGCTAAAGTGGCGTCAATTGTGTTATCTTAAAAGTCGAAATGCTGGCCTCGAATTAAATGTAGAGAGCACTTCAGATAAATATGTGTGGTCCAACGTAAGAAATTGGTCGTTATCAACAAAAAAGCATCATTTGCATTTTTTAAAGTTCGACGTCCGAACCATCTTGAATAGCTTAAAGCTTGTGGACGATTTCAAAGTAAATAATGATTATATCTACCTGTTAAACCATAATGTCCTTCGCATAACTCCAAGTTAGGTATGCCTACCCATTTTAAAAAGCAGGCCTTTGGACGAACGTTTTTTTAATACTCCCTGAAAATGATCTTGAAGCCATTACGATTCAATGAACTGAATTCAATTCTTATTCGCTAGTTCCAGCTGCTGGTTTAAGTGGTTTTATATATCTGTGAGGTTGTATATAATTATTGCACGTCACGATTGGACTTCCTCTCTTGTTAAATGCATGTAGATGTGCCTCCCACATTCTCCTTTTTAAATCAAGACTGGTACATCACTAAATTTTTATGAGCACTTAAAAGCTAGTTGATAAACTCGAAATATAATAATGGACAGATATCACGAGGAGCACTCTACTTGTTCAAAGTCCTCTGACGTACTTCCACTTAGCTGACTGCATTTCGAAGCTGCGTCTGAAACAACAGGAGGTTGTCGCTCAATGTAAATATAATTGTGGCTAACGTAAATCATTTTCATAAGAATTATCATTTTCAAATCCCAAATTTTCCCTCAGCCTTTTTTTTCTCTATGAATAACACGGAACTCAGATCCAGGAACCTATTGGGAAATCTTTCGCTTTAAGCTTTAAGCTCGTTCTTTTTCTATTTAATTGCTCAAATTTGTCAATACTCGGGGGTAATATAATTTGAAATAAAAAAGCTCCTATTTCAGAGTTCGTGACTTTTTGTACATCAATATTACTTGCTGTTTGTTTAGGAAATTTATGCCGCGGGATAAATGGATAATTTCCTCCCAAGAGAAAAAAGAGCAATTATGATAATTCAGTATTACCAGCTCAATGCAGATCGATTCCTTTTCTTTTATTCAGCATGCTGCGTTCAAAATTCGCTTTGTTCAAAGATTTTAGAAGGATTTTACGAATACTATAACGTCAAGGTGAAAAATTCTTCACTCTTAACTTTGCAACCCGTCTTGCTCTTAAATTGTTGCCATGAGCAAAATTTTTTTTTTAAGTCTGGGTGCAATATCGTTAAGTAGCCTCAGGCTAGTTTTTTTTATGAAAATTTTACAATCAGATTGAGTTGACAACCCTTGCCAAATGCGCATTGTATGAAAGCAGCAGATGATAGAAGCAAACACACAAAAATGATAATTTTATCGATGCGCTCCTGAAAACTTTCATTGATGGACAGTCACTGTGGTTTGTTAACCTATTGCAGTTTTTTTCCGCCACTTAAGTGTACTTTTAAACTGATTTTAGAACTATATAGTGCCAGAACACTTGGTTTTCCATATTATTTCGTATCAGCACCTTTGCGAATTACATCTCACGTATGAACCAGCTTTGATATTATATAAAATTCCACTTATGCAACGTCTAATCGATCGGCCGGTTTGAAAAAGGGGAGTGAGAGGGGATTAAAACGGATTGGAAATGACAATTGGGAAATAAAAGGCTGCATTTCGTCAAAATCCACAACCGTCACATAAGTCCTTCGAAGGCGAGATGTTGATCATTATCAGAATGATTTATCCCCTCCACGGAAATGACACTTGCTGTTTCAAATCATTTTTAACATTTCCACGTCATTTACAGGATTAAGAAGAGCAAATACCATGGAGGATTGTGTTCGTTTTGTTCACAAAATGAGCATTGATTTAAATGCCATATTTCACTTTCGACGAGGTTATTTCAACTTTTAAAAGTTGCTGATTAGAGTCCAACGCAATGAGGTAGACGCAATGTTCTCGCTACACGACATGTGACTTGGCTTAAAGGAGGAATCCGCTATTGATGAATGCTGAGGGGTCTTCAACGTCATCTCCACTTTGAAACGACGCAATTTCGGCTGAAATTTTGGTGTAATTGGTGTAGATTACATTAACAGTAGTCTTTTCCTACTTCAGAATAACAGCACACAAGGTAAAATCGGTATGTACTTTAATTAACGATCGCGACAGTTTTGTACCTCATCGCTGCTTATAGATGTATTTGCATTTTTTCCCTTAGGAAGATAAACAAACCGAAAATAGTGTTCATTTGTTATACGGCTTTTTTGCTCACATTTTTCTTTGTTTAAGCCAAAACAGCTCTGTGGCTATATGAACCTTTGTTAGGAAACGATGATGCCACTAGAGAGCGAATACATAGGAAAGAATACGTAATGACGAAAGAAATAAAAAACAATCTATTCTCCACATCTCAAATTTCCAGATTTCCATTTCCCGTTCCCCGCTCAAGAAGACGCAATGATAACTGTCATTGCTGTTGATAATAATGATAAAAGTGGCAATAATAATAATAATAATAATAATGATGATGATGATGATGATAAAAGTGATAACAATAATAATGATGATAATAATAATAATAATAATAATAATGATGATGATAAAGGTGGTGATAGTGACGTTGAAATTAGCTAGAATGAAGATGATGCGACAGGTGCGAAAGGTGCTGTTACAAAGTATAATAGTTGTCAAATTGTTTATTTACAAAGTACGGCAGGTATTGTAAAAAACGACAGGCATTACAAAATACGACAGATATTATAAGGTACGACGATTATTACAAATTGAGACAGGCTTTTTGTCGCAAAACGAAACAATAGTTTTCACAAAGTGCGACAATTTTGTTATCAACTAGGAACGAAAGTTATCACAACGTGCGACGATTGTTACAAAGTGCGACAGAACACTTCTTCTTTTGTTTTTTAATGAGCAGATAACCACTAGTACATCGAAGTAGTTGGCTGCATCTCAAAACGATTTGTAAAAAAGGAACAAAATTTGGCGCTGTGGTTATTTCTTAAAAGTTTCTTTTGGTGTCACCGTACAGATAATAAACGTGCTCACTAGCGCTTCCTCTATAAAAAAAATTATGGGATAACATCTCTGTCTTATTGTGGGATTATATTCTTCTGAGGCTCAGTTTGGTTAAAGATTTCGACTGAGAAAAATAAGCCTGGGGTAGCCTTCAATACTCTACATCAGTATTCAGGTCACTTTTGGCAAACATGAAAACATCTTCAATGTTTAAGGAAGGCCCGAAATATCATTTTGATAGGAAGATAGAGGACACGAGACAGAAATTTAAACTAAGAGACACATGACAGGGATGGTGAGATGATAAAATGGAGCAGATGGTCCGGATGAATACGGATTGTAAATGACAAACACAAAAAATTAAGGCTGAATTTTTCAAGACGCAAACTGTTTTATCTCCTCAGAACAGAGACATGTAACACAGGTTTGCTCAAGTAGGCCGCGGTAGCAGGAAAAAAAAAGAGGCTCATTTATAATTCTGTGTCACCTAACAATATGATATGAGGTTATAAATTATGTTTTTTCTGCTTACCGTTCTGTAGATTTCGATGAAATTCCTGTTTGAGAAGAAATCACAAGTTTACCAGATCGCACCAACAGACCTGTGTTGCATGTGCTCTTGATTTGCGTTTACTGAGCGGATGTAGCTGATTGAAATCTTTAAAAAGGCGAAGACGCTAATCTGAAGTTTTTGGAAAATATCTTCGAGCCTTTTTCACCACTTAGCATAAAACGCCTGGAAGCAACGTTATAGCCTTGGGAGAAATGCAGCTGAGCTGATCGACGCCTTTAATTTTCTTCGATCACCATGACACTCGCTGCGACCGCTCGTTTGTTAATCTGTTATCTCAAAAGCCACGACCATGGGGAATAGGAACTGCGCCGCTCTGATGATAAAAATAATTGTCCGTGAGATATTTAAGCTCATCAGTTATATGAGCAAATTAAAACGCAGAGCTGCGATATTGGCCCAAACTGATTGATTTTGTCTCGGTATTTGGAAAGCGGACAATAGAGCGCTTTATCCTTGTTTCATTTCAAAGGAAGGTGACATATCGCGAGCATAACAATTAGTAAAATCCTGTCTTATCCGGCTTATTGAAGGGCGCAGAGATGTTATCCCTAATTATGGCCCAGAATTGTTACTGGTCAGGATAAGCAGATATTTTGATTGCAATTTGCTACATTATGAAGGGTCATTTCGAATCTATTTTCGTCCTCAGCATAGGAAATTAGTGTCCATAATATTTTCGTAATCGAGTTATCTGCAACTACAATCTGGGTTGAAGTTTCATCCAAGCTTTTTTTGAATTAGCCTTGTGCAACACACGCATGTCTCCAAGAAGAGCAGAATTTAATTTCAATTGTCATCATTTCAGTTAAAATTCCAATTCCATTTCCACTTAAAATGAATAAAGAACAACGGAAAAAATGGTTTCTTTTAGAATTTCGGAAGTAGTGGAC